AGTTACAACGACCACTAACCTTGGCTTGTGCACGCAGGTTCCTGAGACACATTCCACTAACCTGGATTCATCATTGGAACTTCACAGCCTTTCACATAAGAGAACAGATTTGTTTTGGTGAAATTAAGCAATTTTCTGATTTCATGATAGACCCATGATTACGCCTAGAAATTGGTGTCAGCAAGGTTCACACTAAACTTTACCCTATTTATTACCAAAGGAGAATTAGTATTTTGTTTGGGTTTTCGAGGTGAGAATTAGATTGTTACGATGATTGAAAAAAGTAACCTCAGCAACACATAGAAAATAATAACTTTCCGTACTTGAGGCTATCAAATGTGATTTCAGTTTTTCTACAGTATTGTTTGAAATGCTTGCAGAATATAGTGTATGCTACTGTTAGCGACATATCCTAATGCTTTCGACAGCTTGTCTATATCTATACATTAGGCTAGAACCCTTGATCTTCTCTCAGAGAAGCGGTTCAGCCCTACTTATAATTTCGTTATCAGTTATCCCCTGCCTATGGTTGGTTAGCATTCGAGAAAATGATAATCTGGGAGCTATTCCGCAGAAAAAAAGCAATAACGAAGTTGTAATGAACTGCATCATCTCGGTTCGCCTGCCATGTGGGAGTATGAAGGTTAAATCCAACACTTTGGAACTTAATAAACTAATCTATAAAATATACAAAGGCGTGAATTCTCTCCATACGCGGAACCTCTGCCGTTCTGCTAACATCGTAAGTGTCCATATGCCGATTTTCGTCGACTTAATCCAATTCTCAGCTCGAATCCAATATCAATGGCTTAGAGAAACTGCGAATGCGGTTTTCAGAAGGGCTTTTCGATTATATATAACTTTTGTGAATTAAGCATTCAAAAACACAAAATATCACCTTGTCATACAAAATTCTGCGTATTACACCACATCCGAATGATAACTGCGATTGAACATCATCGAGGCAATATTCATTTTCCAGAAATTTCACAATCTCTTCATTTTATGGCAAAATAATTTTTGCTCGAAGTTTAGATATCAAGAATATGACTGTGATGACTCAGCTGCATGTTATCAAGAAGATAAGGCATTCTCTTTGTTTGCTTATGCATCTATTTGATGCCTAGCTCAACATAAATTAGAGCACACATTACGCCAGCAGTTCGGAGCTTTTTGAAGATGTTATTATCTTCAAAGCACAGCCTAAAGCGCTTTGAGTAGAACTGTCACACTTCGAGATCAAATATAATAAATATTATTAGGTTATGAAATAAGTTTCGAGCTTTAAAAAAATCTCAATAAAACTGAAAGTTTTGGCAGAAAATTGTATGTCTTTCGATAGAGTAAACTTTTTTTTCTACAAGATATATACTTGGCTTACGCACTTATTTGAGAAACTAGAAAATACATTTGGGAGTTTAAAGGGCAGAAAAAACTCAATCAACTGTTGGTTTTTCTTGGAATGCGAGAAGCTCGAAAAATTCACTAACGTCAACCAGTAGGGTGGTACGCAGATTACAAAAATCAAATCTATTCCCCTCGGTAGGACCTTATTTTAGGATTACAATAGGTATAAGAAACAGGGTCACCACAGTTTGCCTGAGAAGTGGTCTACTGGTGCTAGTTGACATACTGACTACGAAAATCAT